CCCAGTGAGTTCAAATAGGAAAGATCTCGGAAGTCATCACAAACGGGCCTGAAGGTGAAACTTTTGGATTATCCTCACCAGAGGAGGAAAAGTTTCCACATGCTGAGGAGGTCCTACACTACAATCAGCTGCCAGAAAATGAAAATCAATTCACTCTCTTCACTGATGGTTCCTGATGTATTGTAAGTACAATTTGAAAGTGGAAAGGTAATGTATGGAGTCCTACACTATTGAAGGGCAAGGTGGATCCAGTCAGTTCACAAAGCTGAAAGCTGTCCAGCTGGCTTTAAATATCACTGAATGAGAGAAATGGCCAGTGCTTTACCTCTACACTGACTTGCTGATGATAGCAAACACTCTGTAGGGGTAGCTGTACCAATGGAAAAAAAAAAATTGACGGTGCCAAGGAAAACCCATCTGGGCTGCAGAAGTGTGGCTCTGCACAGGTGGAGAAGCTCTGCCCGGGTGGAGAAGTTTGCTGTAAAATACATTGTGGAGGTGCACAATATTCAAGATTTGGGCTACTGAAGAGTATCAAAACAATGGAAAGGTGGATTTAGCTGCCAGGGTTGGAGTGTCTCAAGTGGATCTGGACTGGCAATACAAGGGTGAGTTATTTCTGCCTCAATGTACCCGTGATGCCTTGGGTCACCAGGGAAGAGATGAAACATCCAGATGGGCTTGTGACTGATGGGTGCACTAAACCATGGACACTCCCTGACTATCCCAGATGTGGCAGATTGGTTACACCACACTACCACAAACCCACCTAGGCAAGCTTTATGTGTTTACAGTGGAAAGAACCAGTGGATAGCCCTCAGGGAAGACATTTTGGATTAGTCCTGCCTCAAGAAAAGGCAAATATATTCATAGAATTATTTTTGCTCAAGAACATGGATGCACTTGGTGGGTATTGCAGAAGGACGAAAACAAGACATGTAGCTCAAGGAGGTTTGATTTTTGGGGGAGAACAGCCTGCAATACTGAATTGTATATGAATGACAATGCCACTGGTTTGCCATAACTACCATGGGCCAAAAGGATGGACTGCTCCAGGTACACCAACTGTGAGCTGCTGCAGCTGACAACCAGCCAACAGCACACAAGCCCTCCTGCTCTGGAAGATGTCTGGGAGGATAGAAGGTACAGTCATGGACTACATTAACTCAACACACATCTTACAGGGACAGGTATTGACTACAGAAATAATACCTTTACATGTACATTTTTATCTCTCTCTATGTATAGATAGACATATGTGTGTGTACATACACATATGTATTGGTCAGAGTCATGTGGGTCTCTCTGCCAGAGCCATGTGGGTGTGCCTAAGTTTTTACCTGCCAGGTAGGGGGAAGTAAGGGATTCTCACATCCAAGAAGGAAAGGGCCATGGATGCCATATTGCTCTCTGTCTGAGAAAGCTGCATGACACAGTTAGACTCAGAGAGCATTTTTGTGTAATCACCCTCTTTTATACATTGTTGTTCGTATGTATTGTTGCTGTTACTTTTCATTCTCTTATCTCATTGTTGTTTCCAGTAAATTGTTATCTCAACCTATAATTCTGCCTTCTCTCTCTCTCTCTCCCCCCACCCCTCACTAGTGTGTGGGTGAGAGACTGGAAGGCAGGGATTGGTTGCATGAAGTTTAACTTCCAGCTGAATTTAAATCATAACCCTCACAGACAATTGTAACAATTTACTGGGTGAAAAAGATAATAGACTCAAAATCCAAGTTGACTTGTTTTAGCAAGAAAGTTCTAATTGTGGCTGTATTATCCACATAAGAAATCTGGAGATTTTACCAAAAATTAATGTTATCATGTGTTTTACCAACACAAGAAAAACCTCAAAGACTCTTACTGATTTATTTTTCATAGTATTTTATTTAAGATATAAAGTAAATACTGAACATAAATAGTCACTTTCTATCAGAGTTTGAACAGGTGCTAGGTGCAAGGCAGACTTTAAGACTGATTTTTGCTGCAGCTATGAAATAGTTGTGCCAAAGCAAACTACAGCTTCTTTTGACCTCATTAGCTTTAGTTGTTTGTTGAGGCTGCGCAATGCAAAATGCAAATAATGGCTGCTGACCAGAAGCCAATGTTTAGAAAAGATGAAGAGTGCTGCTGCTGTCATATGAAAAGGACTGAAAAAAGCTTGCCTTTTCCTTGAAGTTAGACTCAGGGGTATTTTTATTTAGAAAAATATTCAGGAAAACAAGGGAATAAATGTCAGTGAAATTCAATCCCTCTGCAATCACTGAAGAGCCAAGAGGAGCAGTTTCATACTGCTGCTATCACATGACAGCCATGTCAGAGTCTGGTGTCCACATGATGACCAAATGCCCGAGCCACCTCAATGCCTGCCTGCCATCACGCAGGATCTGTGGCAAACCTGCAGGAACTTCAGTTGCATCTTTGTGATGGAATATGAGTGGGAGTTGCCTGAACCTGTGTACTTCAAAAACAGTGACCAGAGCAATTAAATGACACCAAATGTTTGCCTGTGTTTACATACAATTTGATAATGAACATCAAAGCAAGAACATTTCTATTACTGGCATGTGGAGGGTAGCTCAGGATTGTGATTGGGCAATATTTTCTCTTTATGGACTATTGAACAACCCTAACAAGTCCTGCAGGAAAACTCTTTGCTGACACTCAGTCTTGGATATTGTCTTTTGATCAAGGGATGAGCAAACTGCTGACAAAAAAAGGTTTTCACAAATTCTAGCTATAACAAAAATCTTAGCCATTTCTAAACAACTCCATCCACGTCCCTTCAGCCTTTCCACCCTTAAAATTACTGACTTAATTAATATGCACCTACTTACTAGAAGTTAGCGTTCTTTCTAGAATGTAATTTTAATCAAGTTGTCCCTTGAGATTTGGTGTTTTCTTTTAGTTAACACCTAAGGATTTTACCCTAAAAAAAAAAAAAAAAAAAAGTTCCCAGACAAAGTATATATGAAATTGGTGTGCTTGTCTTCCACACATGAACTCAGTAAACCCTTACCCTGGCACTCCAAAATTAAAATGTATTTTTCTTTCACCTCAAAATGTTCCAGTTGTCTGCAATTCTGCACTTCCACAGCCACACATCCCAATGGCTTGGCACCAGCAGGGAAGGGAAAGGTGGAGAAAGCTTACTTAACAAGAGCAGGTAAAAAGCTCATGAAATGTTATTGCATCTACTTTACTTTATTTCTGCTGGGGTCTTGGCTAGCTCCCTTTACCCATTGCTTGGACAATACACCACCAGAGAGAGAAAATCACAGTGAGCATAAACCACAAACCAGCATGTTCTTCAGTTCAGCACACCTGCATGTCCAGAGGCTCTGCACAGATCCTCTCCCAGACAATAAGCATAAAGCATAAAATGTAAAACCGCAAAATACAGCAAAAATTTGATGAGAGGGTTCCTAGAGGTAGCCTTCCACTTCTTCAAGGTCAGCTTCTGATGCAACAAGCATGAAACATGGGCATCAAGGGACCAGGCCTTGTTCCCTGTGATCCCATCTACTCCTGACTAACAGCAGTCCTTCTAATTTACTGTTGTCAAAAACAGTAATTTGGCTGTTTTAATCTGTGCAAGAACTTTGCCCATTTTATGCAGCTCCTCTATGGAAGTGGATGGATAAGTATCAATTCAAAATACCTTTTTATGGATAAAAGGAGATGTATATAATATGTTGCTAGAAATATGTTTATAGCCTAACACCATGACCATGTTGCATACCAAACACTTTTTGTCAGTGTGTATCTGTCTGTCTGATGATGCTCCTGTGAGTCTCACTGGGAAACATCTTGTTCTTATTAGCCAGTTTTCAGCTTTTCTGATGAATAGGCATTCAAATTAAATAGACTTAAAAGTACATTTGTGATCATTTTCTACTGCTTTTAGGTTACATCTCAAAATTAATCAAGGATCTTCTTACCATAGAAAACTATGACTAAAAGTAATTAGTGGAAATGCCATAGTAGTTCACTGAAAAAGTGAGTAAAAACATATTTGTTATTCTAAAAACACTTGAAGTATCAGTAAGATCAACAATAATTACAATCCAGCCGGGTGGTTATTTCATTTTTTCATCCTTCAAGAAGTATACAATTTTAGTGTGTCACTTCACTTCTGAGGAATTAATATTCTTATGAGCACTACATAATTGTACATCTATCTGTCTGTCTATCTATCTATCTACCTATCTATCTATCTATCTATCTGCTATCTTTTGTTATTAACTTATTTCCTGATGAATTGGTGCAGACAGAAAGGTTTTGTCTCTTCTGTCTGCTGTCAAACCAGAGCTTTCTTACAGGATTTTGGCCAAATTGGTAAAGGTCTCTCTCAAAAATGTAAATGTCTCTGAAGTCATCCCAGGGTTGAACCCATAGCATCCCAGAAAGAGCTTCAGCACCATTCCTGCTAGAAAAATATCAGTGCTGCAGACACGAGGACCTCAGATATTCAATGACCACTTTTGCAGTCTCCTAGCAGCCGTACAACTACATGTTGTGCTGGCAACAACAACCACTCTCCTTCCAAATACATCTCTGCTTGCCAAAAGCACAACAGTATGTGCAGGGTTTCAATTCCCCTAGGAAATCCACTGAGGTGATTGTGTGCTGTCAGCTTAACTATCATACAGGCCTGTCACAGTTGGACTACTGTTAATGTGCACAGACCCATGCAAGGATACTGGAAAAGATGAATGCTGAAAAAACAACAACTTCACAGGGAGAAAATCCCTACCCTGGATGGAGCAGTGTGTCACTTGTGCACGGCAGAAATATAAAAATATCAGGTACTGTTTCATGAGTGTTATTAGTGGCTCAGCTTTCAAACTAGTGGGTGAAATGAAAGCTTTCTCAGTGAGACTCACAGGAGCATCATCAGACAGACAGATACACACTGACAAAAAGTGTTTGGTATGCAACATGGTCATGGCGTTAGGCTGTAAACATTTCTAGCAGCACACTATATATCTTCTCCTTTAATCTGCTACTCTTTACATTTCTCTTTACATAAGTTAGTACCACTAACTAATGTTAAAAGTAGCATGTTTTATTCTATTCTGTCAGACATGCTTTCTGCTATCTCTGCTCTAATTAAAGTAAATATGCACATCTGATGCAAAATGAAGTTCACAGTAAATCTGTACAAATAAAACGGCGATTTTAAGCACCATTTAATCATCATAATGAGTGCAAATATACACACACAGTTGCACACATGAATGATACAAGTGCACTTTGTAAACATTGTGGGTGTGAAATTCCACGATAGAGCAGCTGCATCGTGATTAACCATCTGGGACGATCACTCTGCTTTCATACTGGCCAACCCCAGCCGCTGTCCTGTCAGCTACACTTGTCTGCTCAGCTGACTTAAAACCTCTGGATAAAACCGGGCAGATCTTCGTTTAATTTCTACTTTCATTAGCAAGCTGCTGATGGCAAGCTGCGGGCCAGGAGCCACGGCGGCACGGCGTTCGAAGCCTGCGGCGCAGGACCCTCGATGAGGCACGGTGCCTCTGCCGCGCCAGCCCGTCGCTTCTCCGGCAGCAGGGAGAATACCCCTTTTCCAAGAGAAAACGGGGAGCGTGCCGACGGGTGTGCGCTGCCAGCCTCAGGCTGCAGAGGCCCCGGGACACGGGTGCGCGGAGCGGCGGGGGGCTCAGCGCGGCACCCATCGGAAGCGGTGCCCGCCGGCGGCTGTGCGGAGAGTGAAGGCGTTTCCCTGCGGGAAGGCCAGGGTGCGGATGGCTCCCGCCTCCCCCAGCGCAGCCCGCAGGCTGCCGCTCCCCTCCAGCTCGCTGCCGACCGGGCGCGGGGCGGCGCGGCCGGTGCGCAGCCCGCGGAAGGCGCCGTGCAGCCGCGGGCCCGGCCGTGGGCGCTTGGCTGTGGGGCTGCCTCCCGGGCTGTGTCCCGGGCTGCCCCGGGGGCTGCCCCCCAGGCTTCGCAGGGCGGCGCGACACTTCTCCGACACGGCCCGCAGCATGGCGTCCACGCCCTCCGCATCCTCCAGGCCGGTCCCGGCCAGGGCAGCGGCGGTGGCGGCCGCAGCAGCGGCGGGCGGAGGAGGTAAAGGATGAAGAGGATGAAGAGGAGGAAGAGGAGGAAGAGGAGGAAGGTCTGTCCCGTCGGCGCTTTGCGGGAGCATCAGCGTCTGCCGGCGAGAGGGAGCGCGAGTTCCGCGATCTGCACCGCACAGCCCCGTCCTGTTTCGCACCACACTGTGCTCCGCTGCTCCATCCCACACCGCACGGCCCCCTCCCACACCTCCCTGTGCTGCCCCGAACCGTACCACGCTGAGCCCCACCCCCCACGGCCCTGCTCCACCCCATACTGCTTTACCCCACACCGTACCAATCCATGTTGCCCTGCCCCACACCGTCCAACCCATACCACCCTGTCCTGCACGACACAACTCCCAGAGTCCCACACTGCAAAATCCCATTCCATATCTCCCACCATCCAGGCCCTGTCCCATCCTGTGCTGCCTTACCCTGCACCCTATTTTCCCCTGCACCCGACATCACACTGTCCCCCAGGGACAAGCTGGGCAGTGGGGCAGACAGGCCGGGTGGTGAGCAGCACTCACGTCAAGAACAGCCGCCAGCTGCCTGGCCTGACTTGCCAGCTCCTTCAGCTGCACGTTGTTCTCCCGCAGTGTCAGCAGCTCTTCCTGCCTCTGTGTGAGGGTCTCCTGCAACTACAAAGGACAAATGTGGAAAGCGGTGGTTGAGACAGCCACATCATCCAGGAGCCAGGGGATGCTGCAGGCCATGGCCCTGCAGTTGCCTCAACAGGATGCAACAGAACACAGCGTAGACTGGGGAGGGCTTTGGGGGTCCCTACCTGGCTGTTTTCTTCCAGGGCATCTCCCAGTGCTTTCTGGTGCTGGTCTGCCAGGTCCCTCCAGCACGGCTCAGGGGAAGACAGGTTCTGTGGGGAAACCTGCACCAGTGCACTGCTCTGCAGCTGCGGGGTGCAGGGGCTAAAACCCACCTCCTCACCAAGTGAGAAATCATAGTCAGTACAGTCCAGTGGTGGCGACATTAAGCTGGATACATCTGGAAGGAATAGCCACTAGTGTTAAGTGGAGGCATTAATGTCTGCTCCCCCCAGCCCCAGCACACCATTCTGGTTTTAAATATCCCTCTGGATGTCCCCTCTGGACTTGTCCCTCTGAAATGCTTTTACTCTACTGTGACAGCTGTGCACCCTGAATCTGTTTGGATTTAATTTGTCTCCTGTGGGAGAAAGCTCAGTGACAGCTCAGATCTCTAGGGGAGTGAACAGGAACTACCCCACAGACGGTCCCATGGTGGGACAAACATGCAGTGAGTGGGCATCCAAAATTCCAAAAGCAAAGCAAAAAAAAAAGAGGAGACTGAATGCAGCATGACTGCAGATGTGCACACACAGGTATATTTGGCTCAGGTAAGGAAAAATATCTACTTGCCAGATATAAAATCACCGACAGTATGCCTGAATTCCTGGAAATCAAACTCCGGCCCATCCTGGAAGCAGGGACCCTGGCAGGGGTGAAGGAAATGATCCAGTGAGCAGGGCCCAGGGCTCAGACCTGCCCACTCCACTGCCCATACTGTTTTGACAGTGTCCACTGCCTGTGCTCAGTGCCTTATCACAGTTCCAGCACATCCAGGCACCATCCCCTTGCCACTTGCATCTGACGCATGGGACAAGATGCTGTCCTCTGCTGTGCCCATTTCACAGGTGGGAAACTTGAGGCTAGGGGAGTTGCCAGCGTCCACCTTCTTGAGAGAGCTACCCCTTCAGGTGCCAAGTGCAGCCTAGGCTGTTCTGAACAGTAGGTTTACCTGCTCCAGGGTCACAGGGCCAGCTGGGGTGGTGGGAAGGATGGGGGCAGAGGCTGCCAAATCCTGCCAGTTGATGGTGCTGAGCACTGGGGACAGTCAGAGACAAAGGTGAGTAGCATGGGAAGGGGTGGACATAGCAAAAGGAGAACGGCAAAATGAGAAGCATGGCTGGGGAACATCTTTGATGTGCATGGCCAGGTAATGCAAGGCTGGGAAACAGGGTGCAGAGGCACCAGGAATGATACAGTGGGGTTCATGGAGAGGAGTCATGGCTGGGGGAACACGGTGGAGGGTAAGGCGTGGGGTGTCACGGCTGGGGAGCACAGTAGGGGACATCAGAGGGGCGCAGAAGGAGGAACAGGGAAGGGTACACGCCTGGGGGGGCTAAGGCTGTTCGCTGCAGGCTGACTCACCCAGGGCGGGCGCGGCGGCGGCCGGCGAGGCAGCGCTGCGGCGCGGGCGGGGCGGGGGAGCTCGGGGGCTCGGGGCGGCCGGGGGCGTCCACGCCGTGTCCCCGCCGGGCCGGGCCGGCTTCTTGGCTAGGCGGGCAGGAGGGCCCTGGACTGTGTTGGGGCAGATACTGCCGAAGGCTCGGCGGCGGCCGCCCTGCTCCATGCTGGCGCCCCGGCCCCGGCCTCGGCCTCGGCTCCAGCTCCGGTGCCGGCGGGCGCCCTCCGCCCCGCGCCGCCGCCGCCCCGGGCCGGGCCGCCGGCTCCCGCGCCCGCGGAACCCTTCCGCGCGCCTGCGGAGCCTGGGCGGGCCGAGGGGGCTGCCCCAGAGGGAATTGCGAGGATAGGCGCTGCAGGGCCCGCCACCACGGCCGCCCGTCCCCCGCAGAAGCTCGGCGCCGCGCTCACCCCCGCGGGTCGCTGCCGCGCGGTGCGGGCTTCAGCTTGAGGGCTGGGCTGGTTTTATGGTGTTTGTTAAATCTCTCTAAGGGATAGGGTCCGTCTGCGTCGAAAGCCACGGGGGACATGGGGGGCCCTGTGGGGAGAGTGTTATGTGGAGAAAAAACCACGTCCATGGCATCTTGAATATACCGATCCGCACATCGGGAGAGCCCAGGCACCCTAGCACACACCCTAGCACAGGCAGAGAGTCCCACTCGCTGATACGGCATGTGCAGCTGAAATCACCGACGGGGTTGGCGGAGATTGAGCTGCCCTTTATTCCACCGTGGCGGTCTTGTAGGTATTTTTTGTAACAGCAGCGTGGACAAGGTTTCGTTCTGCCTCATCACCTGACGGCAGGCAGGACTCGGAGCGCCGCCCGGCGTCCGGGTCCCCCCTGCGCTGAAAGGTGAGCCCTCCCTAGGGCAGCTCCAGGCGTCTATGAGGTCTTTTAACACTACTTTCGTGCACAGATACAAATGAAGAAAATGAAATATTTTACAACGCTATGACTGTTTTCTGCCTTTGAATGTGCCAACCTGCTCAGGAGCGTGCATCTGGATTAGAGACCTGCCAGAAAACTAAACAAACAAACAAACCCAGCTGTTGTTATTATCCCGCACTGTGTTTTCCTACATTTATGTCAGTGTATCTATTTTTTCCTCGAGCCATGACCAAGCCAGCGGGAGGCAGTTTGAAACGGGTGAAATAAAACCCCATAGACTGGCTATAGAGCAGGTGTTTTTTTATTCCAGCACTGGAGGTGAGGGGGATTTCTTTACCTAACTCACCCACCCTTGTCAAGTGCTGCGGTCTATTTATGCAGTAAGTATTGCTTAATATTGCTACGTCATTATAACATCATCATATATGCACCTGAACTGATTTATATAATGTTATCTCATGGATATAAATTGTTCTACTGTACTATGCTTGTGCTTCCCCAGTTTAAGTGGTCTGGGAGGTCTTCTTCAATGAAGACTTAAGGTGTTCCTCACATCTGAACTTTTCAACTTTATCTTCGGAGCATGCACAATTATGGTGTTCCTTGGTCTTTCTGGATCTAACCAGTCTAAATTCTTAATTTTGTGGCTAATTTGCTTTACATTTGCTAATTACTAATTAGTACACCCTGCTGCTTCCCAATATAGCTATACCTGTCTATTTTTGAAACTATTCACCTGGCATGTTTCTGTTTATTTAAGCATTAAGCAACTAGTTAACTGTATACTGGCTATTACATTGTATAGAAAGTTATGATTCGGGTTATATTGGTATCTTATATATCTTATAACTCAAGATGTATATCTTATAACTCAAGATCTTGTAACTCTGACTCAAGTTATATAGGCATCACAGGGAATGACACTATTGGGCATGTTTATTTTGTGGGGGATTGAGTTAACTGACAGGGTGAATTCGTTATGTGCCAATGTGTTTCCTCTCCCAGCTGCATCTGCATACCACCAGCCAATAAACGTATAGAGATAACAAGCAAAAAAGAGTTTACTCAACATTCGTTTGGTCCTTACAATGCTATCTTCATGGACCACCCTCCAATTAAATAACACAGTATGTGAGATTCAGTAAATTATTTACATGCTGGACTTAAAAAAAATACAGCAAAGGGACAGTGCAGATGACATGACACATAAAATCGTTTGCAAAACGCCATCTAATTTTTAAGCTCCAATGACACTAAGGCTCAATGGATCAGACTGCACCGACTCTGTGGAGCACAAAGGCCGAACCAGTGCCCTCTCCACCACCACCCCCTGTCAGCGGTCATCCCCAAGCCAGGGGCACTTCTGGGCCACCTCCGAGGGCAGGAGGAGAGACAGGGACCGCCCGTTCAGAGACACCAGGAGCTGAAGCTGGTCCATGCAGTCCCGTAGGAGCTCTTGCGGATAGCCGCTGATTCGCAGGTCCAGGGGGCTGCGGTGGCTCAGGAGCCGGTCCGCAAGCCCCAGGCTGCTGGCGGCCAGCAGAGAGGGCGCGTATTTGGTGAAGGCATAGTCAGCCAAGCTGAGCTCCGTGACGCCCGCCGCCAAGCTCCGGGCGTCCGCCGCCTCCCCCGCGTCGGCCCCCCGAGTCTCCAGCCGCACCTGGCTGAAGTGCTCCAGGAAGAAGCTGACGGTGGGCGCCGCCAGGTCGAAGTCCAGGCGATGCAGGACGATGCACTCCAGGTTGCGGAGCTGCTGGCGGGTGAAGGCATCGCAACAGAGGGCGAGGAGCTCTTTCACGCTAGGAGGGTGCACCTCCACCTGCGGGTGGGCACAGGAGTGAGGACGCTGCCGCCGGGAAGCAGTGCAGAGGAGCTGGCGCGGAGCCCGGCCTGTCTGTGTCCCCCTCAGACTGGCCTCAGCGGGCCGCCACCCCCGGTGGCGGGGCACCCGGGGCCCGCGGCCGCCCCTACCTGTTTGCAGGCGATGAGCAGTGCTGTTACCCCCAGGAGCTGGAAGCAGTCTGCGGCCACTGGGGTAGTGGCGAGAAAGCGGTCGAGGATGTTAACGGCCAGGCAGAGTGCCTCCAAGGAGAGCCCGAAATGCCGGTGCACGGGGATGAGCCAGCTGACCAGCTTGCAGCGCGCCTCTGCCGTCACCTACGGCACCGGCAGTGGGGATCAGGCGGGGCCGACTCGGGGTCTCCCGCCCACTCCCCGCCGCCGGCCCCGCTACCCCCACCTGCGGCTGCCGGGCGAGCGGCTCCCGCGGCTGGAAGCGGCTCTCCAGCCCCTTGCGGGAGCGGTACCAGCTCTCCCCGTAGTCGCGGAAAGCCTGCAGATCCTGCGCGTTCTCCCCCGCCGCCGCCGCCGTCCTCGTCCCCAGGCACCGCCGCCTTGCCGGGCGCCGCGGGCAGCCCCCAGGGGAGCCGCCGGGCCCCCGACGCTCCGGAGTGCCGCCGCACCGCCCGCTCGCCGCCGTCACCATGGGGTGGGCGGCCGTGCCAGGTCCGCTCCGGTGGCGGCACTGGCTATTTGAGCGGAGTGGTGGCCGCCAAAGCTGTCACCGCCCGCCTCCCGAGCACCCCGCCCCGCCCGTCCCGTCGTCGGGGCACTCAGGGGACCACCGTCTCCAAAACAAAATCCGAGCCACCGAAACGTCTGTCTCTTCTCTGCCGTTTGCCCTCGGGCAAAAAGGCTGTGGTGGGACCTCCCGACCACGGGCTCCTCGCTCTCGCGCGGCACAGAGAGCAAGCCAGACAGCAGTGCCGTAAACCCACGAATGTGGCCAGCTGAAGCTGCTGCGTGGATTTTGCCATTACCAACGCAGGCGTCTCTCCAGCTCCCAGCGGTTCAGCTCAGAACGTCGTAAGCTTTACAGTTACCGATCACTGCCTGTAAGTAACACTTCCAGTGCAGGTCACCAGAAACAGCACGGGACAACAAGGGAAAGAACTAGGAATGCTGGAGCTCACGATACAATCTGGGTTTCAGTTACACTTTCATCCATGGACTATTTATGTGATGAGGCACTATATTAAACAGCTGAATAGAGGGAACTTAAAACAGTCCTGCACTCCAACCACCCATTTATAGTGTCCTATATATGTGGAAAGACCTGCAGAAAGAAAACTTCTTCTGGGTTAAGCACTGGGAAAGATGGCAGTAGGAAACAAGAACTTCAAGAAGCCAACGATACAGAAAGAAAACAGGGGAGGAGGTGGGAATCCCACAGTGTGAATGGCAGGAGCAGGAACTCCTCTCCAAGGTAAAAAAAACAAACCCACATTGACGACCACAGTTGAGATAATGGTGACAAAATCCAGAGACAATGAATGGTCTTGTGTCTGACAAATGCTTTGAGAAAAGCAACACAGAAGTGTTAACAGAAGTCTTTATTAAATAAATAGCAAAAGAGAAAGTTCATCCACCCAAAAGAGTACAGGCACAAAAGTATACTGCAGAAGCAGAAAGCCAGTGTAGCATCTGGGTTGTTTTTTTTTTTTTTTGGTGTTTTTTTTTTCTTTTTTTGTTTGTTTGGCTTTTTTGTTTTTTTGTTTTTTTGTTTTTTTTTCTTTTCTTTCTTGGGTTTTGGGGTTTTTTTTTAAGTTTTATTTAAAGATAACTGTGCTTGTCTGTACACCACAGTGTGACCTCCTTAATTTGTTTTACAGAAAACTTGTTAACACAGAAGATCGTGCAATTGCCCAGTTATTACACTAT